TCTCTATCTCTCTTCAATTGCTTTCTTCACAAATAGAAATCCAGTTCTCTACACATGTTCACTTCCTATGACTTGTATCCTAATCCTTTAGCTATGGATCCCCATTTCATATATGAAGCCTGTGTTATTTTACTGTTACCCTGTTGTTTTACATAGAAAATGATTACTCAAGATAAATCATGCAGACTTATGAGAATTGTGTGCTCCACTTTTTAATATATGTACAAGGAGTCAAAAGTGTGTCAGGGATCAATACAATAACTTGAGACAATACATTTATTATAGTCAGACAGATAGAGTGACTGGTAGATATGAACAATCCACAAACGACATGTAAGCTTACACACTTGATCATTCACCTCATGGCTATTTTTAGGGAGGTGGCTGTGTGCAAATTGCCTGCCTTGTTCACCTACAAATTACACAGTCACTACACGTTACAGTTAATGCTGCAATGCACTTCGGGATAGCCAACTGACATGAAAGGCACTACATCAAATGCAAGGATTGTTCCTGTTAAAAATACATTGAAAATTTAACATGAGCTGATCAATGGTGAAATGTTGGATCCTAAGTGATTCTTCATGTTCCACGTTGTATTGCTATGTAACACAAAGCATCCTATAATTCTCTGCAGTAGTAAGTACATATCGGTAACAACTGTCACGGCTTGTATTGTAGAGAGACCGAGCCTTGCCTGATGATTTACGGGCATTAAATCAGTTTGAGGGATTTATTTCGCATGTACTGTTTCGGGGATGAGGGTTGAATAAGCTTTAAAACCATTATAAAAGTTGGCCAACAATTCCAAGTGTCAGCCTGACATAAATTATGCATCACTAATGCTAATGAAAGAGAGGCCACTTGTCCCACCTCCCGTGTAACTGCCATTTTTCACACCCAGAATTTAGCAACTGTGAGAAGAAGCAACCAGTCAATTTCTGGCTCTACCGGCTTCCAACACAGCATGAGATCCACAGAGGACCTCGCTGTTGGCGGTTTAATGCTGCTTTTACACTACGAGCAAACCCAACTCCGCAGGCAACCTGTAAAGAAGTCCAGCCATGTTTTACACTGTTGAATTGTGCAGAACCCGTTTTGCACTCAACACCTGACACCCCCTGCGCAAGGCATGGAATGACATCGACCGCATAACCTGTCCACTAAACTGTTAGAAATTTACTTTCACCATCTCCACCGCTCAAATAGTGATAGCAGAACTGGGGAAAAGACTGAAAATCGCCTGACATTCTGGTGCATCTCATGCAAAACAACAACATCAGGAGTCCTGTAGCTCAGTGGTTAGAGCACTCGCCTTGCAAGTGAGACACCTGGGTTCAATTCCAGGCAGGGAGAAACCAAGTTTCCTTACCCCACACGCCTGATAATAATCTCTCCAAAAATAAAAACAATAATAAATTGGTTATTTTCAATCCACGACTGTTTGTGGGACGCTGCTGTGCGCAATTGGCTGTCGCGTTTCGCCCACAAATATATAGTCAATTCACTTTACAGCATATTGTGTGAAGCGCTTTGGGACTCTAGAAGACGTGAAAGGCTCTATATCAATGCAAGGATTATTATTATTAACAAGATTACATTTGTATAGCGCCTTTCACGTCGGGAGGACATCCCTCATAGCATCTTCAATAAATGTGTGTGTGTGTGTGTGCGTGTGTATCTGTGCTTGTTGTGTTGGCTGGTCATGGGTTCTGTGATGGTAGTTCAGGCATATCACGTCCTGCGTTTCCCTGTGCTCTCTCTCCTACTCTGGTTTTGTCAGTTGGTGATAACGTGGCCCAAAGCAGTTAATTTATTGTCAGGGCAGGAGCTGCATGAAGTCATTGTTGGCATTGCCGTAACTGGCTTTGCTGAAGATTCAGGGTCACTTGCTCTCTGAATTGCTTTTATGCTGAAACAGAAACCACTTGCTCCTCGGGAATGAGGGGCTACGGACCCTACTAGTTCTTACAGTATATCCTGTGAAGCGCTTTGAGATGGCTCGTAGACAGGATAAGGTACTATATCAAATGCAAAGATGATTACTATTATTATTTGATGAACTTTAATAAAACACAGCCATAAACTTTTCTTGGGTACAGGTACTTGAACAGATTTTGTCCTGTCTGACAGTGAAAGGTGCATTTAATTCCGTATCCTACGATTTAGGCGAAATTGAACACTTTTTGGCCAGTGGGGGCCATACACATTTCAAGTCTCATATCGATAAAGTCTGCACCTCTTAACTTTTGGATAGTGAAATATTTTTGTTATTGAGGTTGCAGTTCTAATTTATCTCTTTGTTCATTTCAATTTCTAATTTATCTTTACTCTTGGCAGGATAAAAATTACACTTGCATTAGATCTGCTTTTAGGTTTGGAAGCACATTTGTCTTACAACTGACCTAATTGTCATATGTAAATTCGGTGTAATTAGCATAATTAATTGCTATTATTGCTAACAGCGTGACAATCCTTCTCCCAATATTTCAGGGAAAAAATGGCTTTTTAATTGCTACTGCAAATGTGAAAAAGTACAATCTTGAAGCTGTTTCATTCCCTCATTGCACTCACTCTCCCTGTTTCAGGCAGCCTATGATTTTAGTGTCATTCAGGATCCCAGTGGAAAACACTCCCAAAATCCACTTCACAAGAGTTTTGACTCCCATTTTCCCTTGTACTGCTGTCAGGAACAGCACCTAAATGGCCAGTGTTTTATGGGAGTCCTAGTGTTCACCCTCCAGCCGGATAATCTAGATACCAATCAGGAACAGGAGCCTTGGGAATGTTTCCCCTCCGAACATGGGGATACTAAGGCCAGTTGCAGGACTCTCCCAACTGCCATCAGCTGTCTCCACATAGCTTGGGATTGGGACCAGGAAAGCTCCAGGTGCTGAGCTGGTCGGTCTCTTTACCCACGAGACTATTGGGGAAGCTCCATAACTCTGAAAATAGGAATAGGTTGCTGTACAGCCCATCAAGCCTGCTGCCTGCTGCCCCAGTTTATGAGATCACAGCTGGCCTTTTAGTCCCAATAGTGTCCAGAGTGTGGGGGCAGAAAGGCTGAAAGCCTGGCCATCGATGGTAGGGCAGGTCGGGCGGGAGACATGGAGCAGGCCGGAGTCTGCTGTACGGAGGGAGTGGGCACGTTGGTAGGGAGTCAGCAGATCAGAGAGGTAGGAGGGGGCAAGGCCATGGATGGCCTTAAAGGTGAGGACGAGGATCTTGAACTCGATCCTCTTGGGGATGGGGAATCAGTGGAGTCGGGTGAGGGTGGGAGTGATGGGGTAGTGGAGCCTGGTGCGTGGGAGGACACGAGCTGCAGAGTTTTGGATGATCTGCAGCTTGTTAAGGGAAGAGTTGGGAAGGCCGATGAGAAGGGAATTTCCATAATCGAGCCTTGATCTGACGAATGTGTGGGTGAAGGTTTCGGTAGCCTGAGGGGTGAGGCAAAGCAAAAGGTGGCATTCTGTTCATTTTCACAGCTAAATAAAGCTTCTCAGCTCTGTGTATACTTTGATCGGAGTTTCTTGAATTTTAATTTGAGGCATCTCATTTTGGGTTAAGAATGCTGAACTCGTAAAGTATTTTTAGAAACATGTTCGGAATTGCGGAGGATGTCTTAATCTGTAATTGTCTCTGAATGAATGTAAATTATAGTTGTGTTTTTTTCTTTCGTTGCAGAGTATAATAATCTTCAGAAGGTCAATTAACTTTTTAAATTCTTGATAATTAAGACCTGAAATTTCTCATTTTCTTAGTCTTAAGACACGTCTTTTAATATCAAATATAATGCGGAATTTTATAACAGTCTTGCAATGAGTTTTAATTATAAAAAATAAATAAAATTCTGTTCACTCAATCCACGACTGTGTGTAATTGGCTACAGCATTTCGCCCACAAAGTAGAGTCAATTCATTTTGCAGTATATTATGTGAAGCAGTTCAGACGTCTCGAAGTTCAAATTCAAGGATTATTATTATTCATTTGGCGACTTTTTCTACAATTATTATAATCATACAAATTTACACGACAGAAAGAAGGCACGGACATTCGGTCATTGTCCTGACTTTTTGAAAGAGCAAACCATTCAGTCCCATTTTCCCCCCATATCACTCTGTTGCACTCCTTCCTGTCCAGGGGAAATTATCTCTCCCTATCCACTCTATCAAAACACCTTGTCATTTTAAAGACCTCTATCACGTCTCCCCTAGTTTGGTTTTGTTTATAGGTCAAACATCTCATCCAGATAATCTCCCCAGCACCTTTTTAATGGCCCAAGAAGCATCCTTCCTAAAGTGAGGTCATCGAAATTGGTCTAAAAACCTGCAGGAAACCTTTCCAGTAGATTAAGACTGAAATTAAGACATTCCCTAAATTCCACGTGATCTTAAATGTTAAGACAACAGTTTTAAGGCGGAGACCAGAAGATATTTCATGCCTCTGATATTTCGCCCACAAATATACAGTCAATTAACTTTACAGTCTATTCTGTGAAGCGCTTTGAGATGTTGAGAAGACATGAAAAGCGCTATATCAAATGCAAGGATTATTATTATTGTTATTATAGATCCAGTCGTAAGTTATTGGTTGTGATTCAAAGCCCTTTCGTACTGAATTATTAACCAAATCAGCTGGAATAGTTTTTCTGTTTTTGTAATATAAAAAAATGGAAAGAGTGTTTCCACATCTTGATGCTTCATGCAATTGGAAAGGTCCTCTCTCCAGGGAAACGCTATCCGAAAAGTAACACAGTTTAATCAAATATCACTGCTCGTCATTTGTGTGTTTGCGCATTATGGGGAGATGATATATGTGTCTGCAGTATTATTACTCTCTCTGTTCAAAACAATGATCTAATGCTTTCTCCATATTGATTCCTTTTTTTCTCCTCATTCGTCCAATGCTGTCCATAACAAAATGAATTATCTGATTTCTTTATAAGAAAGAAAAATATTTCTTTTGTCAATACCCTCATCTCTTGATTTGTTTGTCCGCAGTTGACGGCAGAAATGATCCTGCGGATAGCCAACGAGCCAGTTCTGCCTTTCAATGTCCTCGATGTAGCCCTGGTGATACAAGAGCAACTCAAAGGTAGTTTGTTTGAAAGTTACAGCCTGCTGATGACTTCTCTAGTGGTTGCTTTGTTAATTACAAAGTAATTTGAGCTCTCTCAATAGCCTGGTGGGCAACTTAGGTACTGTGCAGTGTAGCACCAAATAGCTTCACTTGCACCTTCCAATCTGGGTCTGATGGACCATGATAATTGGCCTTGGTGAGACTGGCTTAGTGAGGGCAAGGTCAGCCTGGCTCTCCCTCAGCTAGATCACTCTCCAGAGACAACAACAACAACAAGATCACATGCATATAGCACCTTTCACATCAGGAGGATGCCCCAAGGCGCTGGACAGTCAGTGTTTTGGACCCGAGCTGGGGGTCGGGGTGGGGGAGGGTACAGGCCGGGGGGAAACAGGGTGATCGAAAGCACGGTCGAAGAGGAGGGTCTTGAGATGGGTCTTGAAGGAGGCAAAGGAGGAGGCGAGGCAGAGGGACTGCGGGATGGATTTCCAGAGGGTGGGGGCAGAGTGACATTGGTGGGGTGAGCGAGGCAGGGGACGTGAAGGTGATGCTGAAAAGCTTGTTACCATCATCCTCACACATGATTAATTTGCCACTCGAGCCAAGTATCAGAGGATGTTCTCTGACCCTCGTCGAAGGAAAGTAAATATGCCTTTAATATAGAGGGGAGATGGGAATAAAATAAAATTCAACCATTTAATCGTTTGGTTTAAAAAAACTAGCATTGGTTGTCCTTAAGAGACTAAATCAATGTCGTAAATATGCAGCTGAGAAATTAATTTTCTAAATCAATAGTTATATCCAATATAAGATACCACAGCTTTCTTTAGATTCTCTCAACACGTACAACATAACATTCAGTCTTTCCCGAGTGTAAACCATCCAGGCAATTTACACCTAAAATCTGACAATCCAGGTGTGGTCTAATCGAGGTGACTTGCCTTTTACCCAGTGTCTCACACTCCCTTATCACTCTCCGAGGTAACCTTAGTGAGGTTGGAGACTCGCTGTGTGAGGAATCACAGTAACCACACCAGCACTACACTAACCCAATAGTGTAATGCATCAATGCACTAATGTATTCTACCCTTACCAGCCTATCTGCAATTTTCTTAATTATTCATGCTAAAGAGCTTTTTTTAAAAAAACACACACACAATTACATTGATCGCCCCCAGATACCTAATGTTTGTCCTGATTCCTTGCTGTGAAACCCCACCAACACAGGTTGAGCCAATAAGCTGTTCCCGAGCTGTGTAATTGCACAAAGCTTGACAATAGCCCCGCTTTCTGAGTGAATAATTACATGGGGTTTGTGGTGCTGCGGCAGTGAGCTTGCAGTGCTCTGCAGCGGGTTCCCTGGCACTCGCTTGCCGGGGAGGGAGAGGAAAGGCGGATGATTTAATTTGAGATAATTTGCTTGGGTTTGGCTTATTAATCACTTGCTCAAGGCACCGAGGTGCAGGGAGAATGACCTCATTGTGGCTCGTGGGGCAACGTGACACAGAGATCTGCCAATTTAACCGTTGGCAGTTTGCGATGCCAGCTTCGCTTTACTTCTGTTTACCTCTTTGTCAACCCTGAATGATTACTCCAGTTTCCTAGTGTGTTGCGCCCCCTCCTCCTTAGCATCTGCAATTGGAATTAGTTGACACGGAAATATTGTGTTCAATATTTACATTGTGTAAACTTTCATACTGCTTTTTTTTACACACATTCACGCTGTTAAATACTGTCGGGTGAAACTGATGGTTTTTTATGAGTGTATATGATCTACCTGCTAACAGGGAGCAGCGTGATGTTATCTAACTCTTGGGCTTTTGTGCTGTTTCTCTTTCTCTCTCTTGGCTGCTGTTTTGATTGCTGAACTCTGCTTTGTTTCTGTGTTGAAGGCGAGGGCGAGTCTTCACGTCACATGCTGGCATTTGCGAATGCGCTGAGGGAAAGTGCCCAACTGTTTCAGTCCAATGAGATGCGTCCAGCCAATGACCCCAAGGAACGTGATGCTGTCCGTCTCCGGATGTTAAACAATGTGCTGCAGAACCTGGAGAAAAACTTCATCATCCAACAGGTCCCGCCCGGCTACTACAGGTACGGGGGAGCAATCCTCACTACTCTCTCACACAACAGGGCAAAGCGATGTGATGTGATCGTGTCATCATTCACAGAGAGAGCCCCAGAGATTTTACAGAACAGAAGTAATAATAATCCTGGCATTTGGTATATACAGCGCCTTATCACGTCTTCGAGACATCTCAAAGTGCTTCACAGGATACGCTGTAAAGTGAAATGACCGTGTATTTTGTAGGTGAATAAGTAAGATCTCTGTGTCTGTGCAGATATGACTCAGAGTTCTCACATCATGTGGTTGAAGCAAAGAGCACAGTTGAGGGCTCGTTCACTTCATTTCTCGTGGGGATAAAAAAATTGCTGCAAGTTTAATAGCAAACTTTGCGCTTTAGTATCTATTCCTACACACGCAAGGTCACTGCAGTACACAATCTACTGCTTCTTTACAACACATCACACAGTTTTAACATATTAGTTGCTTCGTATTCAGTCATTGAGATATATAATGATGCCTATTGATTGCCATTGTGTGGTTCTCCGCTTCTCACAAAAGAACTTGATTCGAAACGAAAGTATGGATAGATAGCAGCAAGCTCTAGCTACAATGCAGTGCACTTTTAAGCTTTATTCCGCTTCTGTTTTGAGGGCCACTTTACAGATTGCCAGGCGCTCTTTGCAATGTATGTCACACTATTAAGGCTTTTAGACGAATGCAAATTCTATTAATAAGTTAGTTCGCTGTTGTGGTCCATTGTGGGCCGTGGAATGAGACGGTAAATAGGTTTGATTACAGCTTTTGTTCAACGGGACTTCAGACTCTGTGAAAAAAAAGAAGGCAACATTTTCAATAAATCAATTTTTTTCTTTTGATGAATAGCCCTACTTTCTGAGAAATTGATTTTCCACGCATTTTATAAATTTATTATCATATTTAAAAAACAGAATGGATTGTAGGTCAGAGGAAATAGGCTTTAGAATCAATCTCCATGTCTCTTGGAAGATACCCACTGAAACAAAACTTTTAAATGCATTTTCGTCCCACAAGCAGAAGTGCAATCGGTTCATGGGGCAAAAAAAGAAAACTTTTGGAACTCTTTTCTCCAACAAACGTCTGCTGCATTGAGGTATTGATTGGCCAAACCAGCTATTTGAGCCAAAGCATTATAGATAAAGCAATTCTTCATCGGTAAACAGTGCGACTTAAGTGCAATTTATAGATGACGACCTTCAGACTGCAAAGCAAGTTTAGATCATTAAGGGGACGTCCATAATTTAAATTCAGTCTTCACTTTGGATCAAAGTATTCCCTCCCTTTAAGCTTTCCTGTTTGTCAGGGCTGAGAGCTGAATAATTAGAGTTATAAGCTTACCACCCAGATTTCTTTGGGTAAATTTAGCATTTCAGTTTTCCATAAACAGTTGTTCACAGTTTTATTGGGGGATCTGAGTTGATTTAGTTTTGACTCGATGACATAAACTGCGTAAACTGGAGTGTCAGCCTAGACTGTGAGCTCAAAGGCCCGATGTGGGGCTTGAACCCATAATTCTCTGACTCAGAGGTGAGCCATCACAGAGGAACTTCGCTTGAGGAATCTCGCAGATACCAGTAGGAAACTCTATCATTTAGATTCTCACAAACTCCCTTTTTAGTCCAATGTGAGGCAGCCGGTGCTGTGAGTAACATCTGCAGTGCATTTTGCCAGCAGTTCTTTCCCAGCATCTGCAGGAAACATATGTGGAATCTGCCCAGCATTAGTTTGCCACTCTGTTGAGTAGGTCATTGACGCTCCACAAAGCTGCGAGACGGACGGATGGACCTGGCAGAAGCAGGTCGGTGGTCAACAGCTTTTGCTGTCCAGTGCGGGTGGCCCCCAGTGAATCCGGGAGCATACACGTGTGTCATTTCTTTACTGTTCACATGGTACCTCAGCAGCCTGTAAAGGGCCTGCGTGTGTATACAAATGATCCAGGAGGCGTGCAAGACGTGCTCATGTCGCGAGCGTCATCCCTGCCAGCTTTCAGCTTTATTTGTTTCTCCTGCAAGTTGCCATGGATCACGTATTGAGAGCTTGCAAACATGCCATTACCCTTTGACTCCTTCTGCACCCGCACTGCTGACTGACGTGACTTCCAATCCAGGCAGTGGCACAAACCAGAATGCCCATTGATGAAATGTCTGTGGTGAGATGATTAGCCAGTTAGCTCTTGCTAATCATAGGCCGAGCTGTAACTATCGCCTGCTGAATCAGGCTGAATCATATATGGCTATGGATCTCAGCATGTCAGTTTGTGAACTGCATGCACAGGAGATGATGGAGGTGCCCATTGTGCTAAAGAGGTTAGAGGCGAATGAGACAGAGAGAGATTGTCTTATTGTCACAAGTTTCTTTCAAAATTAACTATTATGAATAATTAACAATCATTGGGGGTAAAAATGTGGTGTGTGATGTGCTAATTAGCACCGGTGATAGAAACACAAAAACCCTGCGTGAGATAACTTGACTGCAACCCAGAGTCCAGGAATAGGACTGGAGATAGTGACGTGAGGCTTCTGTAAAGAAGAACCATCACCTTAACATGTAAAACTCTTCAACTGTTGGTAAAGATGGAGGACATCACTCCACATTCCCAGGTTGTTTTGGCAAGAGTGATGTGTTTATAATGATGCACATTTGTAAGGTGAACGCTCATTTAATTCGAACTCCATGTTTGATAACGGTGATGTATAATCGTAATTACATTTCAAAGTATAATTTACCTGAGCAAAGGGAACTTTCATTGGATTTAAAACATTCTTTAGGTGAGAGTTTTATGTTCACTATACTTTCAGTTCTGGTTTGCAATCAAGTTATCTCAGGCAGCGTTTTTGTTCCTAATCTGTGGATGATATTCATTCCCCTATATTTTAGGCATTATATAACTACTCTCAATTGCAGAATCGCTAAAAGGATAATGGAGTAATTCATGTCAGTGACTGTTTATTTGTTGTGGGTTTATAGCCATTGTTATGGGTGTGATTTTTTTCCCCCGCAAAATGGGTTTCCGTTATTTAAGTAGTTAATGAAAATGCTGAAAGGGTGAATATGAAGACAGTGGCATGTCCCGCGATGCTGGGGGGGGCGGTGGGGGGGGGGAAATCTTGCAATGGAGTAAACAAGAGATGTTTGTTGAGATGATAACTGAGATGGGCGGGGAGATCAGAAGGAAACAGATGTAGCAGTTAATACAGATTAGCGAAGTGGCATTGAGGTGAGAGAGATGGGCATCAACATTTCAGCCCTGACTGTTGCCAGCAGAGCCCTGAAGGCAGAGAGGGTGATCAACATCTAACCTCCGCTGCCTCCGGCTGGATATTGTTTATAGGCTAACTGTGTAGATTGTTCTCGATCTGCTCGTGGAGTCAGAATCCTAACCTGAAGTGTCAGTGGAATTGCCTTTTGCTGGCTGTGGATGATTTTTTTGGACTATTCCAGTATTCTGCTCAGTCTGTAGGTTTGCCGCTGACGACAACGACAGCAGTGTTTTATGTGCAGCTCCAGGCTTTGCTGCCACAGACAATGTGGGCTCAAGCTGGGGGTTTAGGTTGGTATTTTACCGCCAGTCGCACTATTCTGAGCTGAACGGGAAGTCAAAGCACGCACGGTGCCAAAGCATTTTATCATCAGGTCCTGTAATGGGCTGCAGTGGTGCTGTTGGCCACATGTGCAGTGCTGACTGGCTGCCTTGCAAGTGTTTGCTGGACTGTTGCTGGCTCTCATACCCTCATATGCACTGTTAGCGCACAGCCTGACCACAAGGCACCGCTTTACTGCTCAGCGGGTAGGAAGAGAGCCGCAAGAGTGGAGCTTCTGTGCTGATGATGATAATAACAATCCTCTCCAAAAAATTTGGTCACTCAATCCACGACTGTTTGTTGGACGCTGCTGTGGGCAATTGGCTGCCGCAATTCACCCACAAAATATACAGTCAATTCACTTTACGGTATGTCTGGTGAAACGCTTTGAGACGTCTCAGAGGTACTGTATCAAATGCAAGGATTATTATTATTATTTCTGCAGCGATTTGAGAAGCCGTTTTCCTTTGAAGCTTATAATAGTATTTCATCCTACCACTTGAATGGCTTCTTGATTGCCCAGATCTCTTGCAAGTTGCTCAGTGTGAACCAAAGACACTCTATTTAAGTGCAAATGTTTCTCACTCTGACGTGGTGGTGGTTGCAAAGTACATAGTTATGTAGATTGAATCACTAAAATGGTATGAATTTAGGGTACATTTTGTAAGTGGTGTCAGATGATCTGGGATTGAGAAATTCTTTGTGTGGGGGAGAGGGAAAGGAAGAAAAAAATATATAAAATAATCCTTCCCAGAATTTTTGCTGAAATGAAAGTACAAGACAAATATTTTAACAAATATTGCACTGCAGACTTTTTCAGTTTTATTTATATACAACTTTATAAACAACTTAATTTTGAAGCAAATGTGTTCTGTGCTATTTCAGAGCGAGTCGTCTTCCAGTGTTAAGATATATTCGGAATTAGACATTTTGTGCTTTTATGATGGATTGTAAATGTTACATAAAAAGGAGTCATAGTAAAATGTTGCAGTGAATTTAAGCTGAATGTATGTCTGAAGCTTCCTCTTTGTCTCTAGGATAAGGGATGGCTTGGCAATGACTTAGAACACAGTAATTCTTAATAGCATTTTTGATCATCTCAAAACTTCAGTGGAAAAACTGGAGTTTATAAATGTCAGAAGAAACCAGGGATTGAATTACCACTTTAAAACTATTGCCAGACCTTTACGTTATCTTCAATAATTCTCATTTGTACATTTATGTGAACAGGTTATTTTTCACCTGTAAGTAGAATAGGTACCAAGTGTGATAGAACCAATTTCATGCAGGTAGAAGAATAATGAACTGTAGTTGAGACTGCAGCATTAAATTGTGTTTTCGTTTTATGCAAAGGATTTTGAACTGGACCACATTTTCCAGAAAAGATCATAATCGTTGATATAGCACCTCATCACATTGTCAAAACAACTCAGAGCTTCACAAGACTTTACTGTAAAGTGTAGTGACTGTATATTTGTAGATAAATGTGGCATACAGTTTGCACACTGTCCCATAAACAACCATGAAATGAATGACCAATTTTATTTGGTGGGGGGGAGGGCTGTTAGCCAGGAAACACTCCCTACTCTTTTCAAATAGTGCCATGAGATCTTTAACCTTGATTTCACTTACCTATCGTATGAAGGCCAATTCCTCTGACAATCAGCGCTGCACTGGAGTGTCAGTTGATATTATGTGTTCAAAGAGCCGTTGTGTGGCTTGAACCCACAACCTTCTGACTCTGAGGCGAGAGTGCAACCAAATAAACTGTGCTGGCACCCGGAATGAGTTAAACTTAGGTAATACTCCTTCATTCCTTCTATCATGACTTCATGTGTGTGTGTGTTTGGGGGGTGGGGAGGGGAGGAAGACAGGAGGACTTGAAGAATTTAGGTCAAATCTGATACATGTGGAATTTAGCATTGTCAGAAATGCAATAAAAGTGGAAAATCACTGTGTGTTTTATTTTCTATATTCTGGAACTGTTTTTTTAAACAAAAGAAGTGAGTGTAATAAGCTTGGAGTCAGGGCTACAAATCAGGCTCTGAAAACCGATCCTACTGGAACATACATTTGACAGTTCCATCGTCCACCAAAGATGGATAACAAAGTTTTATGAAGTCTGCAATATCGCCTGAAGTTCTGAATTGCGTTGTTATAACTTGGCCATTTCTGCTGCCTGAAGGCCGGTAGTTCAAAACTGTAACCTTCAATTGCTATCCGTTATTCACCTGGATCAAGATTCACTCCATTTATGTAGCAGTTTTTTTTTACCACATATAGATAACTCCATAAGAATACTACTGCAATATAGTTAATAAAAGGTTACCTGTTCACAACATGGATTGATTATTTTTGGTAACTTTCTATATAGGATCAGGAGGAGGCCGTTCAGCCCCTCCAGCCTGTTCCGCTATTCTATAAGATCATGGCTGATCTGTACCTCAACTCCAATGACCCGCCCTTGCCCTGTATCCCTTGATCCCCTGACCTAACAAACATCTCTCCACCTCAGTCTTGAAAATGTGAATGGATCCAGCCATAATCCACAGCCTTTTGGGGGAGAGAGTTCCAGATTTCCACTGGCCTTTGGGTGAACAAATGCCTCCTGATTTCACGCCTAAATGGCCTGGCTCTAATTTTAAGATGACGTTCCCTTGTTCTGTATTGTTCCCACCAGAGGAAATAGTTTCCCTGTAGCTACCCTGTTGAATATCTGAAGATCTGCCAGTCATTACCACTATATTGAAGTATTTACTAGGTTCCATGTTCTGAGGTTTGTTATCTACCTCTTCCTGTTTATTATGTATAATGTGTGGTCTAAGCATAGCCATCTTCTGATGCAGAAATTAATGGTTGGAAGAAACGAGAAAAGGAACATCGCTGTGAGGACACAAAATTGTGTTTACCCAGTGACATTCTTAACATTGCTATCAATAATAGGAATTTGTATTTGACACACAAAGAGAACACATTTCAGATTTTGTTCCTCAAGAGTATAAACAGTCTTATCAGTCAAGAGTTTTGCCATGAAAGGATCTGTCGTCTCAGCTGCCAGATTGGCTGAATAGACAAACTTAGAAAGTTCTCTATGCAGAGTTCTGGCTTCAATCTTAAGGAATCTTATGATGGCCATTGTTTTATCAAAATTGTAAAGACTTTTTTCTTTTGTTTTTCATGTGTTCGCAGGCAAAAACTAAACCTGCTTTGTGCGAATCTCATTTCTGTTCAAAATATATTGATGCACAGCAAAGAGAGGCTATTTGAACACCAGAGCTGCTATTCTCACAATACTTTCCTGGTTTGAACAAATTGTTTGACCTCCTTGCTGCAGTCAGCAACTGAAGGTTATGGCACTACTTATTGCAAATTCCAGTGGGCCACAGCACATCTTTTTCCATTTGTGTCCACAGGTTCTTCGCCTTCAAACAATCACCACAGCTTGACTGTGCATTTTAAATCGATTGAATATTGCTCAATATGTAGCAATCCACTCATACTTTCTTACGCTGTCCGACTGAGTCTGTTTAGATAAGAAGTCCAAATGCCTGAGGGTGTTAGTAATCATTCTAAACCAGAGTATTATCTTATAAAAATAGGTCCTCATCCAGTGTTTTCTGAGAACAATCTCAGACTTTGAAAGCTATTGATTGAACCTATTAAGTTAACCTGAAAGTGAGATGAGATTTCATTGCTTAATACTTGGTTATAAACTTGAAAAGACACAGTCCGAAATAGAGAGAATAAAAGTCTGACGTTTTCAGCAATGAGATTCTGCATGGTTGGATAGGATGAATCGTTTTACAATATTTCTTATTACAGATGTGCGCGTGTATGTGAGTGTGTGGGGGGTGGAGGAAAGTAAGCACAGTTAGTATATTTCAGTACAAGATGATGTATCTTTCTCTTTTCCAGAAATAATTGGGACATTCACAATAATCCCTTCAATAAAAAATAATAATAATTTGGTCACTCAATCCATGACTGTTTGTGGGACACTGCTGTGCACAACATACAGACAATTCACTTTACAGTATATTCTCTGAAGCACTTTGAGACGTCTAGAAGACGTGACAAGGTGCTATATCAAATGCAAGGATTATTATTATTGTACACAAATAAGCTTTGTCACAATGCAACCCATTTTTTGTATTAATGTTAATGCATGAATAGCATTCGCCTAAAGATTGTAAGAGTCTGCCAACACCAACAGTCCCTTGTCCACATTTATACATCAATGTCAGATACACTAAATGTATCTTGCAGTAAATCGAGTAGAGGTAATGGCAGTGACACAAGCTACTTTGGACAGCTCCTCTATACTTTCTGTTCTTTCCTTTTCCCACTAAGGCAAGTTTGAGAACCTGTGGGAAGAAATTCCGGATGATTGAATAAAGAGTTCACATTGGAAGGACATCTTTACAAAAAACATCTTTCCCTCTCTCTCTGCTTATTAAATCCCATCTGAAAACCTACCCCTTTGACTGTGTTTTTGGCCACCTCTCCGTCCCTCCCTCCCTCCCCCTCCTTTCCACTCAGTTTTTGTAAAGTGCTTTATGAACTCTCCCAATGTGGAAGAGATGCGATCTCTGTAACTGCAAAATGTTGTTGTTGTTGTATACTTTATATAGCATACAATACATATGCACTTGATTGGAACATAATCATATTAATTCATTCATTTCTGTGTGATCTGGGATTATTGATGAAATTCTGAATCTGCTCCATAAAGGGACCGGGGAGAGTCAAATGAGTTTTGAAATCCAGAATAAATGTCAGTCGTCTCAAGTACGGCAACGATAGGGTTGTTGTAATATTTTGAGTCTCAACAGTTTGTACCAGTGGTAAATAATACAAATCAGAACTGATAGCAAAGAGAATATTTGACAATGAAGCCAGTCTTTCCATCATTAATGTATGCATTTATCTACTTGTAAATGATTTATAAAGCAGGAAGATGTCTTATCTTTTTAGATTCATTTTGTATGGTTCTTCCAGCTGGTGTATTAAGGCTGATTTGTCACATATAGCAGAGTGCTTTATCTCTTTCAGAAATGGAGCATCAGGTTATTAATCAGGTTCCAAGTTCAGCGCTCAGCCCTTCTCAGTCAACATGATGTGTCATGGAAAAAAGAATGGTTACGATGACTGATATGTGTTGTAATTTCATTAGTGTCCTTTCAGTAATGTATTTGTTTCCCCTTAGCTGTCTTTTTTGTGGGCTGCATGAATCTTGCTCTCCATGCTGTTATTTGCATTTATTTACAAGGCTTGTGGGTATAAACATAGCATAAGCCTTAGACCTCGGGTCACCAGGCACTTCTATATCACTCAGAACAAAGAGGAGAAAATAAAGGAAGTTTGACACTTTGAAATGTGCAAGAGAGCACAGGTGCAGAGTTTTTACTAACATTTGGCTGCATTTAATTTTAATTTAGCTCAGACTTTAACGTGTGTGTGTGTACTTGTTCACATAGCTTTTCTACTGTTTTGCCTACATTCATTCAGATTTAATTTAGAGTTCTATACAATTACTTTTTAACAGGTTACAAGCGAGCATTTGTTGACTTATTCTCATAAACCCTGTGAAGAATTTGAAATATCTTCAGGAAAAACAGATAGAGATGCATCATTCATCAGCTAAACTAGCACTGGTTTTAGTTACTTTTTTCTCTCATGTTAGATCATACCCATATCTGCTCATATTGTAACCTGGCAAGTTATTTCAGAGTAACTAGCACGTGTCGTTTTATTTTCCAGAAATATACTATATCGTCTTGACGAGGGGTCAAACCAGTTCTCTGTCGTGGAAGAAGCTTTTAACCATCACCAACTCCAACAGACAAACCAAACCTTAAACACTGTGTTGTCCAAGGTGATGAACAGCATTCGCGCTGCTCAGGCTTATGTGAAGGCCGGCTTGGAAGTGTTTGAGAACATTCGAAATACAAAAAAACACACATTAGACTTTTAGAAACGTGCAATGGGGAATAAGAGGAAACGTGTCCTCTATAAACAAATTTCTTTATATATGTGTTCTTGAAAAACGGTTCCTGAATTTACCAAAGGACGTGTTGTTACTGATCACAGGGATGCAAATACACTCCAGAGACAAAACATTGGTGATCTTCATTAACAGGGTAGCGCTTAACATTAACTACTGAGTCAGACACAGTACTTCTACCTAGTTATATTGGAGACAATGCTGTGGTCATACAAGATCAATACTTGCTGGGGTTATGGGATGGCAAACTATTTCTGCCCTTTAAAGACTGCTAGCTATTAAATTAGGCAAGAATATCAAAAGAGAAATGCTTATTAACCGAAATAATTCATTCAGTCCATCTAATGGACTGAAATCTGATGCCAATGAATGTTTTATAAGCACTTAATTATTTTCACCATAATTTACCTCAAAATGGGCGATTCATTAAATTGATCAAATTTAAGATAGAGGGTTTCATTAAAGCTGGAAATGTATAATGTGTGCCTTTCAACCTGTGGATACATTTATAAAGTGGTATTTTTGTAACGAAACAAATTATGTGTCGTAAAGAACGGGAGATTTTCCTGCTTTGTTTTAAGCATGTTAATGCAATTGACATGTTACGTTATCTTTTGTTTAAGCTCGATATAAAAAAAAGATTGTAATTGCATCCATTGCAGCTGAATCACTCAGTATATCATGAAAACTCAACACATGAGTGAAACAGTAGTTAATGGATTTGGGTACTTTTCTATCAATGGAAAATTACAAAATCTAAACAGTGGGAACTAATAGAATAAGCATTTTAGCCTATGTACAAGGAATCAATCATGAATGTTCTTTGCTGCATATTCTTTATCCTGGAGAGGCAATATTTCAGTTGAAAAACCTAGACTAAAAATTGAATTAACTACTTTATAGAGCAACTGCTCTATGTACATACTCAGGTTAAGTTTCAATGTGGGACTGCAAGTCAATAGAAAATTACAGCAAATTGTTACAGGTTTTGACAAGCAAAATAAAGGGTAGTTATAGTTTTTCAATAAATAAGTATAAAAAAATACATTGAGACATTGGCAAAAAATTACAATTGCTTTAGTGTTGAACCTTTAAGATCGTTGAACCCACATTGGATAAAAAATGCATAAAAAGATGGCTTACGGACACTAACCAGCTCAAGGAAAACAAAACAGCCAAACGTGACCTGAACCAAAATTACAAAAGCATAGCTCGTTAATTGTGTAACCCAAAGCTTACCACGTCCAGTACAGGGGCAACTGCACTTATCCCATCACATTGTTGTTACACGTTTTGGTTCCCAGGTGTGCCTGATATTCTCATGTGACAGCAACAATTAGAGACCGTACTGATTCTTTTACAAGAGGGAGATGGACAAAAAGTTGATCTCCCTTCTCAGGCCTTCAATGAGGACATCTCCCATCAGTCAGTCATAGAGTAGATTTGTTGACAATCACTGAGAGGCCCACAGACCGTTCTGCCTGCTTAGAGCTGGATGAAATGATATGGAGACAAGCAGCCATATTGGAAAACCTGGGCCAAATATAATGATGCAGGACCAGAATTATTTCAAGGAAATGTTACATTTCATTCCTGGCTTCAGTTTTGTGGACATCGATTATCTCATGATAAATGAAACGTTTTATTTGGTTCAGTAGCAGATCCGTGATCTCCCTTGAGGAAAGTGGGTTCGACTGAACTCTTTCAACAAATAAAAAAGGAAAAATTGAAAGGGGATGTACTTTTGGAAATCAGAAAGATCTGGTGAAGATTTGGTGGACCAATGAATGGGTAATTTTTTTATTTGCTCTAGGAAACATACGATGTGTTTTTATGGTGATGAATTGTTCCCCTCTTCATTTCAGTATGATCTGTCAGACACAGGTTGTCACACGATATACAGACTACCGCTGTACAGTATATAAAAAAAGACCTGTCAGTCTGTTTATTTATGATAAATGTTGTCGTTATAAGATTGTTTGGGCAAATCCTTTAACATGTCTCTGTAAATGGAATCACAGACGAGATTGATTGAATAATCGTGATGGAAAAGTACTGATATGTGACCAAACAGCAGTTTCACTCACACCACAGTAATTGTTCTGTTGGTTGGGCGAGAACGCAAGGCTGAACTGATTGACTGAATCTTGTACCACTGCATTAATGCATATATGGAAATTTTTGTTAATGATTTTTAAATTGCTATGTATTACAATAATTAATTAATTAATTAATTAATTAATTAATGCAATCAGAAGAAAATGATGGTTTATCTACAGCAAAATGTAGACAAATGCACTTCGGTAATGGATTCTATTTTTTTAATGAAAGTAAAGATAACTTTTCATGAAAGGCTTGTGTGTTCTCGCACATATTTGGTTGTTTTTTTTCCACCTTTACATCCTGAGAAGCAAGACTCGTGAGGTGGCTACCGTACAGGAACAGAACACTTTGTAATCATTTCCATCTCCTCCGGACACACTTTCTGGGAACATAGAGCAGTTCACAGGAGTTTGATTAGTGTTTTAGTTAATTTATTCATGAAAGTATATGCCAAATCCAAAATGTATAAAAATACTGGAAATGAATATTGGTTTAATAAGCCGTAGCTGTCATTATGTTTCATGGAGCATTTAGTTAGTGCACTATCTCTGCATTCAAGCGCTTTGAGACGCCTCAAAGACGTGATAAGGCACTTTATCAAATGCAAGGCTTATTATTATTGTCCACACAATCCAGCAGGTATTTGTTTTCAAGGAGGTAACTTCCCCACCTGCCCAGCTCCCTTTTACTAACGACCTGTGCAATTCTCTCATAAATTATAGCTTTGAACTGCTCTCAAACCCTCTCTTAACACTTCAACGTCATTTGAAGGTAAGGTGTATAGAGTACACACAAGTATTATTATACAAAGTTAGAATAAATTCTTTTGATTTAGTTCAATACAACAAAAACAACAACAAACGACATTTACACAGCACCTTTCATGTCAGGAGGATGTCCCACGGTGCTGGACAGTTAGGGATCAGGATGCAGTATAGTATTGTTGGCAGCAGCTTCACACTGAGTGTAAACCTTGATAGAATGGTTAAAAATCACATCTAAATCCAACAACACTTATTCTTCAAACACTATGGTCATCATAATTAGAGACTTGTTCATGTTCACAGAGCCCTAATAATAATCCCTCCAAAACCAAAAACAATAATAAATTGGTCATTTTCAATCTACGACTGTTTGTGGGACATTGCTGTGTGCAATTGGCTGCCGCGTTCGCCCACAAATATACAGTCAATTCACTTTACAGTGTGTTCTGTGAAGCGCTTTGGGACGTTCTCCCGACGTGAAAAGCGCTATATCAAATGCAAGGATTATTATTATTATTATTATTATGTTCCAAATGTTCCACTATGTTCCACTTCATAACCTTCAAGAGGATTTGCCTTTAAAGATGGGGCCAAACCAAAGCTGTGTATCATTTTATCCTGTGAAGCGCTTTGAGATGTCCTCCTGATGTGAAAGGCGCTGTACCAAATGTTAGAATTCGTATTATTTTAATCAAACTAATGTTGCATCCAATGCACCGCATTTTTAGTGATGAAAGGCAAATCATTTTTTGGTTGGATCTGCACTTGTAAAAGACATTAAATCTTAATCTATTTTTGTTTATAATGTTTTGGGGTATTTTAGAAACAATTATTTTGCTATATTGAATGCACACTGTGAATAGAAGATGACGCAATTCCACACAAAGCATGAAGAAGAAAATTGAATTTCAATTTAGTAGCAAAAAATTGACTGATCCTACTATGCAATTTCACTTAAATACATTTCTGATTGGTAGGTCTGAACCTAGACTAGTGATTTATAAACCACATGAAATGTTAACTCACAAGCAGTCTGCTTGTCATATTGTTCTCAAATTTATTTTGCTGTACTTACCACATTATTAATGAACTATAAATGTTGACGGGCAAACATTACTGTGATGTCATCAAATGTTTTGTTTATTCCATTTATGACTTTTCCGATTGTCAGAGGGTCAGTGAAGGAACTATCTCCGAGGGAGGGAAGTGAGGTCTCCTTGGAGTTCAGCTGGCTTCAAAGTGGCATACTCGACAAAGAGTCACCAGAATCGAGTTAATCCTCTGTGGCTGCCTCAGTAATCGAGTTCCATAACCAGTCAGATCTGCAGTACTGCAGGACATGGCTGATGGCAGACCAGCCGTGTCCTGGACAGACAGACCAGACAGTTGCAGGAATTCTTCAACTATTTTAGTGTTTGTTTGTTTTTAAATCACATCAGACACAACAAAAAGCTGTAAAATGTTTGTTTTAAATGGGAATTAGCCAAAGCAGATTCATTGATAAGGGGAAGGTGTTGATTTTTGGGGTGTAATTCCCCTTTTGGTTTTAAGGACCTTTAGTTTTGTCCCTTATCAGGGAAATTGAGGTAAAGCGGTAACTCGGATTCTCCCTGTGGGGAAAAGGCTCTTAAATGAAAACAAAACCCCATGTACCCAGTGCTGCCAATTAAATCTGTATTTTCTGTGGCTTAATTGGCAGATGCCACATGAAGGTTTCATTCTCTGCTCTTCTCATGTGCCTCATTAGATTCTCTTTAAAACACCATTTATTTGCAGTTTCTCAGGTTGTGTTCTGCCGGAGTGGGACCATCTGAGGCACACCGGGAAATTAGATTTTCACAAAAACAGAAGTGGCTGGGAACACGCAGCAGGTCAGGCAGCATCTACGGAGAGAGGAAAATGAGTTGACGTTTCTGCAGAGTGAGTTGTGTTGGGTGTTGATGGCAGCCAGCAGTACACATTGCCAGGAGCCGTGACAAAGAGGTGTGTACACAAGATGTACAGAGGAACACGAAAGGCAAAATGTTTCATGATTATTGTTATAACAACAGACTGTGCTGTTTTCGTAAGCAATAACCATTGATAGAATAATAATCCTTGCATTTCATATAGTGCCTTAACACCTCTTCGAAAACATCTCAAAAGCACTTCACAGAAAACACTGTATTTTGTGAGCAAAATATTGCTGTGACCATTAAACACCATTTATATCACTGCCTAATTTAGAAGCAAAGTCAATCTCTGGTAATGTAACTTTTCACATTTTCACCACTCCTTTCCCTTCTCCACCACCCCCCCACTCCCACCCCCACCCCGTCTCACAAACAACCTTTGCGGAGTATTCTGCACTACACATGACTATTATAGAAACATCCAAAATTATATTATAAAATTATATTTTGTCCCCCAACAGGGAGATTGTATTAATTCCTTTCCTTTGTTGTGGAGTCAAGTGTTCATTTGGTTCCTACATGTTAATGAATCTTTCTTTCAATGAAATTCTATTGCTGTTTTGAATCCAGTTAATTTTATATTAGCATCGAGAAAGATAAACTCTGCAAGTCTCCGTTGCTTATTTCAGGACAAACATTTTGGACGGGTTTGCATTTTGTAGTTAAAGCAGACTTGAAAAGAACACTTTTTTTAATGCTGTGAAGAGAACGTAATGGAAATTTAAACAGTTAATGGGAAATGCCATTAAAATGAAAAGCAAATCTGTAGAACTTTACAAAATGTCTTGAAGTTAAAGGAGATTCGGTTAAAAGGGTGGC